TAGATAGATAGATAGATAGATAGATAGATAGATAGACAGATAGTCAGACAGAAAGACAGATAGATGGTTCTGAGTTGGGTGTGGTGGCTCACATCTAATCCCAACATGCAGGTAGGGGTTGATGGTAGTGGTCATCTTGAGATTTTACATTCTTACACGTTCCCAGGCAATACCACTAACTCTGATGCAAAACCCCACTAGTGTTTTCATGTTCTAGTTTTCAGGACTACAACCAAGGTCAAGAACATCCATGTTAACATAAGAAGAACTGAAATAAGTACCTATGACATGTAAGGGAGCATTGAGAAGACAGGGAGAGGCCCAGTGATGAAGTCCAAGGCTGTACTTCAATTAGCATTGAAGCCCATGTTTTTCCCACCTGTGTTAGTGTGTCCTCAGCTCTGCTCCAATGTCCTGCTTTTGCCCACCCAGGAGTATATGCTTGTCTTTCTGCTCTAATGAAATGTCACAATTAGGGTCTTGAAGTTCATCTAAGAGTACCTTGTTCTCACCTGTGTGGACCACATCTCTATTTGCTTCTTGAGCAAATGCTAGCATCAGTCTCGGTTGTACATTCTGGAGAAGCACTCCTTCTAAAATTCTTTCTATAGCTTATCACGATCCACAAAAGCAGACAAAATGTGGCTTTGGTTTGAGATTTATTTCCTATGCTCTGACTCCTTGAGGACTCAAGGCTAAGGGGTTTATTTGCAAGACTTAAATATACAAATGTCACATTCCCAACATCAAATGTTGCATCTGAATCTTTCACAATGAGATCAATGTTACAGTTCTGAAACCATTCCAGTTATGATTATCACACTCAAAATGGTAAAACAAAAAAAAAACTTTAGAAGATTGAATTATCTGGATTATAAAAACATTTCCATTGATAATTTCAAAGCTGAGTTACAACATCCTTAGCCATCAGAGAAATGCAAATCAAATCAACTCTGAGATTCCACCTTACACCTGTATGAATAGTCAAGATCAAAAACACAGATGACAACTTATGCTGGAGAGAATGTGGGGTAAAGGGAACACTTTTCCATTTCTGGTGGGAGTGCAAGTTGGTATAGCCTCTTTGGATATCAGCATGGCAATTTCTCAAAAAATTAGGAAACAATCTTCCTCAAGACTCAGCAATACCACTTTTGGGTATATACCTAAAGGATGCTCAATCATATCACAAGGACATGTGCTCAACTATGTTCATAGCAGCATTGTTTGTTATAGCCAGAACCTGAAAACAACCCTCGACCGGAGAACGGATAAGGAAAATGTTGTACATTTATACAATAGAGAACTACACAGCAGAAAAAAAAAATGACATCTTGAAATATGTGGGTAAATGAATAGATCTTAGAAAACATCATATTGAGTGAGGTAACCCAGACCCAAAAAGACAAATTTCATATATGCTCGCTCATAATTGGCTTTTAGCCATAAAGTAAAGAAAACCAGCCTACAATAGACAACAAAGAGTACCCTAAGAGAGATATACATAGATCTAATCTACATGAGAGGTAGAAAAAGACAAGATCCCCCAAGTAAATTGGGAGCATGGAGACCTTGGGAGAGGATTGAAGAGGAGGAGAGAGGGAGGGAGGAGAGCAAAGAAAAATGTATAGCTCAATAAATGCAATAATAATAAAAAATGACATACACACCAAAAAAGAAAAAAAAAGCTGAGTTACCAAATGCTAATTTTATATAAATTAAATTCAGCAAAAAAGTAGTAAATTTGTTTTAAGTGCTTTAGGGCAGGACTGATTTCTCTGATTTAGAAAGAAAAACAATCAAACAAGAAGATTTTAAGATTGTCATACTGTACCATTTCTTGTGAAACATAATCTGGACTCTTAGTGTCAGCAGAATAAAAAGAGAAGTCATAAGTGAAGGTCTTGGTCCGTTCTCTGCCTGAGTCCCCAGTTCCTCCTTCTGGTATCTAGAAAGACAATTTTGACAATAATATTAAGAAAATGAGGTGATAATAACAATAACATAAAGTATAATGTCATTTAACAAACAAAATCTGTGACTAAAAAAACATAAAATGATTAATGTTTGCAGCACATATACACTTATTCCTATTAGTCTCCATAAAGAATGAATAAAATAAATAAATACAACATGAGAAGTCCAGGATCTGTATTATAACCATCAGCTACAGTCTTTACTAGTATAATTATCTTACATGAACACAATGCCCAATCAGACTCTGTCTGCTTATCTTGCATGACTCTTTGACTGTTTCCTCTATGATGCCCCCCCCAAAGCTGGACATTATACAACTTCAGAGGTGCTGGACACTGATTCTGGCAAAAGCAGTGCCCTCTGGAGCTGTGTGATTTGGTAGCCTCTGGAAAACTTCAAGTCAGATGTCTCCTCTTCCATGAAGCTTCCCTAATAATCCATCTAGAAAAAATTTCCCCCTCTTTTCTGAATGAGAACTCTCCTAAGATATTTTGAGGTTATTACAGATGTTTGCATACATCCTATCTTCCATCCTCTGAGTTTAAATGAAACCCACAAACTATTCATATGTTCCCAGAACCTTATACCTTGGATATAATGCTAAATAGCTTCAACAAACAGTATACTTTTTAATAATTGACTTCTTTTTTAAACAAATTGTTTTCTTAAAAAATCAATGAAAACAACAGTATATTAAAAAATGAGCATTTCCCATAGGTGCAATAGTGGCACAAATGTTATGGAGGTAACCAACCACTGATAGGATTTAAGGTCACTCCACAGAAGGAAATGCATGGCTGGTATAGTAAAGCTGGACATGAATCCCAAGTTGGTGTGCTCACAGACCCTAAGGATAAAACCTACTACTATCACTTTTGCTAAATGTATGCACTATCAAACAATCTTCTAAATTTATGTTTTTATATCCACAGATTAGTTTGGTTCTCAGATATCTTCAGAGAAGTTTCTTTGTTCAGTGAATAGTGGTTAACACAGGAACTCACAACTGGTCAACAACACACAAAGAAAAAGTATCTATGGAGTACTCAGCCCCAAATGGGATGCCTATACCAGAAGATTCAGTGACCATTACAGAAAAAGCACAGAAACATTTTAAGAGTCAAAGGTTGGGTGAAACAATATCTTCTAGACAGACAGGACCAGACCACTGCACTCACACAATTATAGCTAGCTGTTATGACCTGCACAAGATCAAGTCCATCAACATCCCAGCAAGGAGGACGAAGGGTTCTTTAGAAGCTACCAACAGTTGATGGCTGGATGTCTATTTTCTTTAATGGTGTAGCCCCTGGTAGGTAGATCATGTTCCCACAACCATGAGTATAGAGGCAATATAAACTGGCACAGTGGATTATATTTTAAAGATAGGTGGTAGATGATGGATGGAAGATAGATAGATAGATAGATAGATAGATAGATAGATAGATAGATAGATAGATAGATAGATAGA